TAAAAAAATAAGTAATTAGTCACAATGCTTAAAAAATAAAATATGAAAAGATAATAAAACTACAGTTTATAACAATATATATGTAATAATTCTAATTAATGTAAATAGAATCAAAAAATATAAAATTATATTTATAGAAAAAGAGAAAAAATACATAAACTATATTTCATAATTTATATTACTTATCGTACTAAAATTGAGGTATAATATACTTAGTGAATATGTTAATGAATAATAAAAATTGTAAAAATACATGCTGTACTAATAAAATATTTATGGTAATTAAAATGATTTACATTATTATGTGTCTTGTGATATAGAATAACAAAAACATTTGCGTAGTACAACAAAACAAAGAATAATATATTAATATATTCACAACAAGTAACAATATAAAAAGTATATATTTTCCGATTATATTATAATTAATATCTCTTTGTATATCGTGAACCTTATATTTTTATAATGGTAATAATAATGTGATATATACTTATATGTATAACAATATATTTAATTATTTATTTAATAATTTAATAAGTAATTAATTTAATATCATGCGTTTCTTTTAATTTTTAGACAGATGATTGCCTAGGAACATGTAAAAATAATTTTTTTAAAACATGGGATGAAACAAAATTAAGTACTGAAATTAATGAAAGCCATGATATGCTAATTAAATTGCAAAGAGAAGATGATGAATTGTTTCATCTTGGGTGTTCTCTATACGAAAATTACTCTAATTTAGGATTATATAAACATAAATATAAAAATGTTTGTGATCTTTTCAAAGAATGGTTAAATAATAGAATAAATGAATACAGAGAAAAAAACAAATTATGTAGTAAGAACGAATTATTAGATAGTACTTTTAAGGTTTTATGGGAATATAAAAAAAATTCTCAGGTAGATGAAGAAGAAAACTTGTGCGAATGGGAACCACCTACTGGGTATTACTGTTATGTTCTATCTCCATTGAAAACCTCTTTTTCTACTTTATTTGTTTTATTAATTATTTTTCTTATTTCATTTTTTGTTAAATATAATGTAATATAGAAATATTTATAAGCAAATTTGCATATATCTTAAGAAATATTTCCACTTACGTAACAGTAAATTAAGTAAGTTATTTATATATCTAATATTATCTCTATATTCTTCTTTCATATGTAGCTTTCTAAAATCAAGAAATTTGTATATGATAAAAATTATAGGGCGAATATAATAAGGTATTATATCCAGCGCTTACTTCCCTTTAGAAATAGGGAGGATTTTTCATTTGATTTTAACACAATACATTCAATGTACCCTATCTCAATGGGATAAGCATTAATAGAAAGGAAATTTGAAAATATTGCACATTATTATATTATTTTTTTAATAAGAAGGGATAGTGTAGAATAAAATTTATTGTTCTATAAATGTAAAAATGCATATGTTTTAATGTAAAATTGAAATATATATTATTGTATCTTATATACATCAGATAAATTAAAAGTGCAAATATCGTTATAAAATAAAAGAGGTTTAATAATAAATACAATTATTTAACCTATTATATTATAAATAATACGGTTTAAATATGATTTTATCCTTATCCTACAGTAATAATATAATATAATTTATAATATAGATATGAACCTTGTTTATATTGTATATAGGAGGGTTTTATAAAATTATTAATATTATTATTAATTTGTATGAATAAAAATATTTCCTGTAAAGTCACAATTGTTGTACTTTTTATATTTTTTTGTACTCATGTTAAAAATAGCACCAATGTATTTAGAATCAACCTTACATAGGATATTATATATGTTTAAAATATAATTTTGAAGAACATACATTTGGTAAATATTAATTATTGTAGTATATCTATGTTCCATTTTGTTCTGATATATATTATATTTTTTTATTCATTCATTGTTTTGTTTAAAAAATATTCGTGTGTAATGAACTGATATATGTATATATATATAACACTTAAAGGAACTATTTAGTACACTCATTTAAGAAATACATGGTAATAAAATAGAGTTAATATTACATAGCATTATGATAAAAATAATGAATGCATACATTATAAAAAATATAACCAAAAAAATTCTTCGCACGACATAGGAAAATTTATTAAATATAATGTACATATATGTAAATTAAATTAAAATATTTCAGTATAATTTACATACTATCTTTATCTAGAAAAACATAGGTAAAGTATTTTTTTATATTTATGTCTTTAAATTCTTTATGGCATTTTATATTTAATCCGATGCATTATTGCTTATTTAGGAATATTAAAATATATTATCGTTAACCTTGGTAAAGGATAAAATACATTTTTCTTTTTTACTCTTCCCAAACGTATTATTCTACAATACATGCATATGATTACCTGTGTTATAAACTCCTTATTATTATAATAATATGGAATTCTGAGTGAGCAATTATACTGAAATTCAGACGGCAGAAGCAATGTGAATTTTATAAAAAAAACACAAATGTATAATAATTTTATCATATATAATTATTTCTGTATTCTTAAGCCTAATATTGACTATGAAAATAGAAAAATATTTCTTAAATAAAATTTCCAAATTTTTTCTTCTACAAAGATAAAAATTAACCCAAAATTTTAACATTATAATTATATTCAATTTTTTCCCTATTATAAATAACATCATATGCTTCTACAATTAAATTAATTCATTTCAAAAAAATAAAATACATAATAACATGAATGCGTCAGGTTTATGATTTAGGATTTAGGTTTATGGTATTGTTCAGGTTTATTGTTTATGTAATGGTTATACTTTTATTTTTAATATAATTTGTGATATATATTATTTTGCATAGTTCCTTTCACTTTTGTGTTTTGTCTTTACAAAAAGATGTTCATGATATATTACTCACTTATGTGAACATTTAATATCTATTGTTTTATGATAAAATTATCCGCTAAATATAACATATATAATATGCATTTAAATTTTATGATTATTATGTGTTGTTAACATAATTTATTTTTTTTTGTAGTCTTTATTATGAAGTTGTGTCTTATTTTTTTATATTTTAATTTATTGTGATTTATGTAGAATTTCCTCTTCTAATCTTTTTATTTAATGTAATTTTTAAGCTAAATTTTTTTTTATATATGATCAAATATGTATTTATTTATCATATTGATAATTCATGTCAAAACTAACTTCCATGACATCTTCCTTATAGTCCCTATTAAATGCATCAATAGCCTCAAATCCTTTATCATGGGAATCATCATCTAGCTTTTCCTCATCATTCTGCTTAAATGCTATAAAAAATATACCATAATAAATATGTAACTCCCAAATAACTACTCCTACCTATAAAACCCTTGTCATTCCCCTATTGATTTAGAATGATATCTCTCTTTATTCTCATTACTATTGTTACCATATTTCATGTTACTCTAATCCGAGTTCATTTGTACATGATATAATTTTGGAACTTCTTCTGAATATAATTTCACTTTTTCTTTTTCTATATCATCTAGCATTTTCTTTTGATCATCTGATGAATTGTCATCAACAGTTGCATTCAATATATTATACACTTTATTTCCGAATTTATTAATTTCATTATCAGAAAATGTATTTATCTTCATATTTTTCACAATTTATCTTCTATGATACTAATTATATTATCGGAACCATCCATAGAATATTTTGCAGTGTTATAATTATTTACATACTCCTTGGAAAATGATATAAATAATGTATTCATTTCCATTTTTTTTACTTTAATTCAATCAATAGCGATACTAACGTGCCATAACATAGTTATTTCTTTTTTGTAATTATTCATTATATCAATTAATAATTCCTTTATTTTTTTGATATCTTCAGGATTTTTGATTGTTGTAATATTCACATGTTTCATCTCTATACTTATATAATAATGTTAAATATATTTTAAAATTAAAATATATCACATTGCAAAATTAACAATGATCTCATTGACATAATTAAATTTGTAAATATATAAATAATTCATAAAAAAATATAATCATAATAAACCTTTAAATATAAAGCCTAAAACAAATATCAATATTTCTTCTTTATTGCCTTATATATTACATTATAAATTTATTACATGAGACTCGTTTTTTTATGCATACATAAATATTACCTATATTTCATTTTATGAAACAATTAATAACAACAAACATATTATATTTCGAAAATATGATGGATGTACCATTGTGAAAATTATTCTCCAATAATATTTATTTTTATTAT